GAAAAAGTACTTTTTCACACACTCTAAGAATGGAAGTGTTGAATTTACTTAACCAAACTGGTTCCACTAAACCAAGCTAAGTAAACTGCTTTACATTTACTCAACTTTTCCCCCCACTCATCTAATCTTCTGTTGTATTTCTTTTTTTTCTTTTAACGTTAACGCGACCCCTGCTTGTTGCCGTGTGACCTGATCACCTGTTCCCCCATGTTTTTGGGGTGTGTGTGTGTGTGTGTGTGTGTGTGTGTGTGTGTGTCTTCTTGAATGGGTGTTCTTAAATATAATGTCATTGTGCTCCATACAATGACAATCAATCAATCAATCAATCAATCAACTCAGTTTACAATTTAAATTAGTAGAAATTGTACTTAGTTACTACACACCTCTGCCAGCAGTTTTCTGGAAGTGCCTTTGTCCTTTAAAAACAGATGTTTTGACACATTTTGGTTTTTATAATTATAAATATATAATATAATTTTAAATTTTTTATTGGTCTTATTGAGTCAGTGGTATTGAGAAATAAGTACAAAGTAATATGTTTCAATAACGAAACTGAACTGAATTGAGCCGCACTGTGTATCCTGAGCTCTGTATTGAAAATCATCCAAACAAAACATGTATTCTGTCATTTTCCTGTCATGTTCAGGGTTGTAGTTTAGGCAGCAGGTGGGGCTACGCCATTGTTTCCAAAAAGTTGCGTTTTGCCTGCCTACATGAAAATTTGATGGTGGACTTTTAAGAGTGTTTTTACAGCTGACACATTTGGTCCGCTTTAAATGGACCAGAATTTGTTTCCCCCTTTGCTCCGGATCTTTTATGCAGGTGTTAATACATTCATGCAAACCTGGTGTGGACCAAACAACCAGACCAAGACCCATTTTTGAGGTGGGCTGGGTTTGCTTCCAATCGAACTCTGGTGCGTTTCACTTCTGGGGTGAAAACAAACTGGCCTCAAACCAAACAAACTACAGGAAACATGCACCTTTTTGTACTTCACCAGCCACCGTTGCTAATCAACATTAGCCCTTCAGTTTTGCTAATGCTAACTAGGGCTGCAACGATTAATCGATTAATCGACGACTAATCGATTATTAAAATAATCCATGACTAATTTAATAATCGAATAATAGTTTTCTTTTTTTTGTTCTTTACTTTGTTTTTCTCTCCAAACTGCTTTGACACCTTCCACTGCCACATCTGCCTTTCTGTCCTTGACACACATGCACAGTAGTGGTAACTGGGGTAGGCCGTGGACGTCACAAGACATTATACAGACAGGCTCTGGTATCATGGCTACCTGGCAACGGAGCTCAAAAGTGTGGGATCATTTTAAGAAAATGAAAGAGAAACCTGTGCAATATCTGCAGGGCAGAACTTTTCCTTCCACAGCAATTATTTTTAGTTAGCATATAGCTAAAATCTAACCATGGTTATATAATAGCAGCTGCATTCTGGCGCGATAAGCTGTATGTTTTATATTCAATTAACATATGATCTGATTAGTCGACTAAAATAATCGGTGATTAATCGATTATAAAAATAATCGTTTGTGGCAGCCCTAATGCTAACACTGCGCTACAAACAATGAGCCATTGTGGGTCAGTGAATGCAGAGCATCTTGTCTCCTTTGGGTTGTGGCACATTATACATTGCCGTCCCAAAATTATATCATCGCAAAACCACCACTGAATGAGCTGCTCTTGATATTCTCAGTTGTATTAACACTATCTTTATTTCCGGGTCTGTGCTCTGTCCCGCCCCCTTCATTTTTGTCCAATGGGAGCAATGACTGTCAACTGCGTGGCTTTATTTATAAATTATGGTCCACTTGCAACAAGCTTGACGTGAATGCAAACCGCACCAAAGGGGAAAAAAAAAGTCTGCTATTTTGTCCGGACCAAACAAGTGGACCAAAAGACTGTCCTTGTGTTAATACACCCTTAGACCTTATCACTCTGGAACTAATTTTCAAATATACAGTTTTGGATCTCCTTCAATGTCGTTTTCAATGTGAAAGTGAAACAGTAAAAAAAAAAAAAAAGATTCTGCATACTCACAAAACACCATCCTTGTACTAAGTTTCTTGTACCACTTTTCATTAAGTGCCATCATCAGCCTAGATTTAACATTTAGATGGATGGAAGACCCAAGACTAGTTCCAGTTCTGAGCTAATCCCATCTGATAACCGAGGCCTTCCTCCCACTCCTCCTCATCCTCCCTCCACTGCCATGGCTTGGTAGGTCTGTCTCTCTCTCACCACACAGAAGGCATTAAAGCCAGGCCCCCACAAGCCCCCTCTGATATGGGAGAGTTCATTAGAGATGTGCCTTTGATGGGCAGCCTTTTCATGTGACTACCGGTTTTTCAAATACCTTGATGTAGAAGCTTAAGAAGGCATTGTGCAGTAAGCCCTCCTTTTGATGCGACTTATTTAGATCTGCATAGTAAATCGAGGTGGGGTGGGAGTAAATAAGCAGCCAGCAGATGGAAGCAAGGAGATAAGGCCGCAGYGAACAATCGCATTTGTATTTTGTTATGATGTTGACAGCAGCTAAAATTCACTAATCTAGAGCCACTGATCTGCATTTCAAAGAAATCTCATTTAGCAGCGGGGAGGATAAAGTTCCCCTCATTGTGTCTATTTTATTGCATTCTTCGCTAATTTATCTGCCCACAGATTTAACGTGCAGGGCTTGGTGGTAGGAGAGAGCGTCCGTGCGTTGCATGGGGGGGGGGGTCTTAAATACTGTGAAAGCGGTTACGTCTAGACTGTGAGCTGAGGGTAATTACACGTCTGACCATGAATAGAATGAGTTTGAAGACTCATCTTTCTTCGGGCGGGCCTGAATTGCTCGACTAAAGCTGATAAGGAGCATTTGGTCCCCRCAGAAATATTGCTTGTGACTTTCCGTAACACCCCACCAAGGATGGTATTTACTTTTAAGATAAAGTTATTGTGTACAGTAATCTGACTTGTTAGCATAATGTCCTCTTTCATGGCAGGACCCTCCTTTTTCTGCACTGTGGAGGTATTTGTGGTCTAGGTCTTAAATAGTTTATCTTGACTTAGCGAGCGGGTTCTTTATGTAAATATTAGCCTATAGCATTATTAGGCCTTCATGAATACTTGAATGCATTTTGCCATATTTATAAGATGATAGAATTTGCCAATGATTTTATATTTGGCATAAAGACATGTGTGGTGTTTGTAAATCCCCACAAATTGGAGGTCATACGGACTAATAGCATTCAGAATGCTTTTCTRCTGAATAAAATATGACATCTGCACAACCCAGTGGGGTTGAAGTCTACATAGGTGCTAAAGGACATTTTTATTACTCACCCAAAAAATATCTTTTTTCACCCCACATAGATGAGCTGAATTCATAACCAATTTGTCATTTGATGGAGTCCACTGGTGTCCATCCACCGCCACGTCTTAAAGCCTCTCATTCTTGATTTTTGTTTCGGAGTAAATGTTGCTGAGCAGTCGGCGCAACATTTTCCACAAACTCACAACAGTGAAAAATTATAGCAGTTGGCATGTTTTGTTTTCAGCTGTTCCCTTTGAGCTGAGGGCTTTTTGTACAGTTCAGAGAGCACATTCCTCAGTGTTCAGCAGCCGCTGGTTGCCTGTAGGGGTCATTGGAATTCTGGGAGAATAAAAGGGAAACACACACACATGTCTTTAAAAAAAAAAAAAGAAAAAGAAAAGAACATCCAGCCTACTTTGTGCCCCTTGCACCCCCAGCAGCACAACTTTTGATTCTATCATTCTCTTAAGCAATTAATGTTATTTTTCTTTAAAATTTGATGCATGTGCGTGAAAATGTCCAGAGTCATCAGTAGCCGCAGTTGTGCTCTTGTGATTAACGCACACACATACAGAGAAAGAAAATCATTCGTGCTGTGCAGCGCGTGTGTGTCAGTGAAGGCAGCTGAATGGAAGTACATGAGAAAATCAATCATGTCAGGTTAACAGTGTGATTTACTTTGCACTGAGAGCTTGAGCCTTGCAGGCACGGCACCTTTAAACTTCAGAGGGAGCAGTGTGTGTGTGTGTGGACTGGGGTGGGGGTTTGGTGTTGTGCTTATATTGTACATTGCCTGTTGGTGCATGCACTTAAACACACACACACACAAACTCAAGCTTCCCAGCGAAATCCAGGTGCACTTTGTTGTTTCAAAATTTATTGCTTTCACCTAGAAAATAATTATGCAACGCACCATCTAGCCCACACTTGTTTGCTACAGCAGTGACTGTGCTAAAAGAAGAAATTAAAATTGAATTTGGTCTAATTTTAAACTCTCTTCTTTTTTTGTTTGTTTGTTTTTAGTGAGCTGACATCGCTGGACCCCACCCTGTGACGAACAACAACGGCAAGTTTTCTCCCTCAGGGTAAATATCTGAATCCGTCCCTTCTTGTCCATCTGTCAAATCTCAAACTTAAARTGTTTGCCATTCATAGTGAACGTCTTTCAACGCCTTCGTTGCTTAAATCTAGTAGAACTTGCTTTGTTTTAGGTTGGAGTTGTCGTGGGTTTTGGTTGTACACGTTTAGGTGACTGCTGGGGGGTCACGGGGTTCTCGCTTCTCCGACGATGTAACAAATCTTCATCTTGTCCACATTGATAGAGTTCCCCCTCCACTGGGCAGCCTCTCAGTTGTGCCTGTTTGGTCTTCACACCCCAAGGATTTTCAATCTACTCTCACTTAGAAGTTATGATATGCACCCTGGTGGGCAAATGTGCTCACGCTCAGATTTGAGGTTTTGTGTTTGTCTTGTTGATGTCTTGATTAGGATTTGTGCACAACTCAAATGAAAGGGGGTTATAGTAGCTCTAACCTAATCCTTGACAATACAGATACAGCAGAGAGGGGAAAAAAGTACCAGTGCAGGTTTTATTCTTCAGTGTTTTGTTCATATTTTAGACCTATTCCTGTTCTTTTCATTCTCTTCTAGAATGAAATATGCCCACTCTGTGCCCGTAGAAAAAAGAAGACGACACTCAGCGTGAGGCGCAAAGTGGTAAGTGAATCAGTTTTCAGTGTTCTCCTTGCAAACCTGATGTTATGATCATGGATTAATGTGTTCACATCAGTCATAACCATATATATATAGATATTTTAAATAGGGGAAAAAATGTTTAGATTATTAAAAGCTGTGGTAGACAACTTTTCACAGAATTTAAAACCATCACAATTAAGTTAAAGTTAAAGTGTAGCTGAATATTATGAACAGGCAAATAGGTATTTAAATGTATACAATTATTATCATCAGTTTTTATTTTTACTCAGTTCAGCTGAGTTGGTGTTTGTCATTTCATGGGTGTTTATGAGTCTTGGTTCACTGTGACTAATTGTAGTTATTCTGGTCAGTGAATCTCTTACACAAGTATTAGTACGTATGCACGAGTTTACAAGTCTTATAGCCACAAAATGGTGAGAAATAATTAAATATATGAACCAAAAAGGCACAGAGTAATGGTCATTGTTGGGAATTTGTTCCACAGTTTTGCTCCATGGTGATCATTGCATATTTCCAACAATGAAGGTATTAAATAATTAATGCACACAATATTATTATTCATGAAGCAGAAAATGTATAAAATGGCATCTTTTAAGATGAATGCAAAACTGGGAAATGTAGGAAATAAAGATACAGAATAAGTTAGCTGACCTCCCCAGCAGTCTTGACTTTTCAGAGTAAAAGCATAGTCCTTTTTCACCTAAAAGAGACTTAAATATTAGTTCTTAATTTGTCTAGTACTCGGTTAAATCTTCAAAGATGAACCCGTACTGCATATCTTCTGGCCCAAAGAAGTTGTTTTTTAATCATTGTAAAAGAAGTGTAATTGCCCCAACACAGCCAAGTCATTCTAGCCTTGTATATAGAAAAGAAAAAAAAATCTACAGCAATTAGATGTATAAAAAAGCTGCAGTTTGGACTGAACTGCCCTCTGTTCACATTTCCAGTTTGAATTTAATTTCTTGTTGTAAATCAGACTCTTGTCATTCCATTTTCAATCCCCAAATGGTTTCTCTGAGCCTGCTAACAGTCATCCCTGAGTGGGCAAACCTCCACGGGTCTTTACCCTGGGCACTTAGAGCAAGTGAAGGGGTAGAGGCAAAAATCAAAGGGACTTGGATCATTCCCTATTGGTAGCCTCCATTGTGTAGCTCATTTGGGATTGGTGGAGAAGGTGAAAATGGGAGACAGGGCTGTGGGGGTGGATGGAAATCAAGGAAAGCAACCCTTTTTTTCCTAATCTTTATCCACTATTAACCCCAGTGCCCCAGTGTGTGGCTGAGATCAGGGCCCTTGGTCAATCCCCCATTCACTGCCACCCAGAATATTTTAAAGTTAAGCTCCAACGCTTAACAAAAAAGTCTTACTCATCAAAGGTTTACTTTCCCTGCTTTCTTTCCCTTCTACTTTTTCTCCCTTGCCCTGGGATCTACTGCTGTTCTTCATGCACCCGTCTCTCTATGGTCCACTGTTTTGTCTTCATGCTTATGCAACGGGGAGGGGAGTAGTTGGAAGTTTTGGAAGTTTCCATTTTTCAATTTAACAAAGTTTAGTTTGTGGTCTAATGGTGTCATACTGTGAGCAAAGTGGAGCAGAAGTGGTTGGACGAGTGACAACAACCCTTTACTAATCTGTCTGATAAAAAGCTGGACTCACTTTAAATTCACTCCAGAATTGCACTTAAATTATTTCCACACCTGGCATTTATATTCCCAAAGTATTTTTTTTCCCTCTTTGGACGTTTGCTGATAAGAATGTCTTGTTTAAGACCTGGTATGAAAATCCAGAACAAGACTGATTTCAACCCAGGTTTCCAACTCTGTATAAACATTTCAGATACCTTCATTTTTTCCACTCATGCCGTATATTTTCTTTGCAACTGTCAGACATTTTAATTTCACCTTAGAAAAATGATTGTGGTTCATAGTAGAAAAACAAGCAAGTATAGATGGATGGGACTGAAGAAAATACATTTTGTGAAGAGTGTCCAGAGTGCACAGTTGCTGAGAGAATAAAGGTGAAAAGCAGAGAAGCAAAGAGACTCAAAATGAGGATTGCCATCATTATTTAAGCGAAGATAAAAACCCTCATTGGGACTATTGATCCTAGTGGCTGACTTGTGTTTTTTTGTTTCATTCTTATCTTTCATCTAGTTGTTCTTAAAGTGCCAAATGTTCATTTTACTGTAAGAAACAGTGTGTAGTTTTAGAAACATTATTGGAAAAGGAGGACAATAGTTTGCTTGCTCCGCGGTGGCCTCAAATTGCTTCGCAAACTGGAGATGACCGATACTGTGGAAATGAGCGATTGCAAACACTCCGCATACACTCACTTAATTTCTTTAAAAAAAGGGCAGAAAGCTAGTGTTTCAAGTGTTATTCTTTCCTTGCAAGTTAATTGGAGAAATGCCGGCTGAGGAAGCTGGACTGGATAGCTTTTCTCCAAGAGCCCGAGATTATTGTGAAACTCAACCTGAGGCAGGGATGACATCATAGAGGCCTGACTTTAGGTTGAACCCCGTCTTTCAGGTGGGAAGAATTACGAGTGGCTTCACTCGCAGGTGATCGTGTCCAGTGAATCGGGCACACACAGTCCTGCATTCTTCCCCAGAAGGTCTAAAGGCTGATTGTCTTGACAGATGAACTTGGGTGTTATCACTAAATTGTCACGGAGCCTCATTTTTCAGGCTGCACGTATAGTGTAAAGTTTATGTTAGCCCTTCACAGTACAGTGTTTTATAGGGGTATCATCATCACGATGTAAACTAAAAATACAGTAATCTAACCTGCTGATGGATTCTGTTTATTTCAGGGTCTGCAAATGTTAGTACATAGACATATATTAGGTTGTCAAGAAGTTAATGTAGAATTTGAAGTATACTGGGCATTTCTTAAATACTTGTGTTTGTTTATTTATGCATAAGTAAACTGAATTATATCGAATAATGCAGTTTTATAAAAATGACACAAGCAACCTTTCCAGAAACTATATTTTATGGACTATAAGTCGCTTTGGAGTATAAGTCGTGCCTAACGGACATAATGTGCAATAACACAATAACACATTGAACATAGCGCCTGTGATGCCAATTATTAACATAGATGCTACAGGTGAAGAGTGACTTTAACTTGTTTGCAATGACTAAAGTTTTTAATTTTTATTTTTTTACACAAGTTAAAATAAACATCTACAGCAAAATGCAAAAAAGTATAATTTACGGTACCAACAAGCTAACATTAGCTACCATTATTAGCTTACCGTCGTCTGTCGTCCTGCCCTCTCGTCTTTATACTGTTGGATGGTCCGGTAGAGTCTACGGTATTTTTTCCTTCAAGTTTGGTGTAGTTCATTACTAGCCGTGTTTCCGTCCAATTTTAATTCGAATTTTGAGCGAATTTTAAAAAATTTGCGTAAAGGAAAAAACAAAGAAATGAGAATCAGACGTGTTTCCATCAACTGGCTTGAAGTGAATCAGTGACGTCGACACATGCATGTAGTAAACAGGAAGTAAAAGTCGCATCTCAGGAAAATGGAGAGAAGTTATCAGGAACGTGTTGCTACTATCGGGAAAGTTGTACTTATTCTGTCATATCAACTAGTTTTGGCGATTTTACGTAGAGACGTAGAGAAAGAAATGCAATTCTCTTCACGTTACGGGAGTAACTGAGAAGACGCCGACAGCGGGAGGAGCTGCAGTCGCGGTGYAGTCGCTCTGGTACCGGTACTGTTCAGACAGTGGGAACAGCTGATCAACCATGTGAGGTAAATGTTCGCCACGTCAGAACTTAGTTCTGACATCTTTCCTTTTGCACATTAAGTCTTTTTCGAAAAAAACAAAAACAAAAACCACCTCAAGCGAACGTATCAACTTTTATGTGAATTAGAGGAAGTTTTTTCGAATCATGCCGTTTCTAGGGATGTCCCGATACAACTTCTTCACTTCCAATACGATACCGATATTGACCCGTTACCAAAACAGTACAAGTCACACACTTTTACCTATTTTGTAATGTAAAATCTTAGAAAAGTCTTGATCAAGTCAAACAGTGAAAAAGAGTAGGTATGAGAAAAACTGACCCATTTATTTTTAACCAATCGATGACATACATTTTAAACTGAAGAACATTATACAATTTAATAAATAGAATAAATTACAATACTCTGAAAAAAATAACATAATAAAAACAAAATGTACTTTTAAAGTGTAAAATAATTCAAAATCACTCCTGTTATTTTTTTTTTTTACCTTCTGTCAGCCTTGTGCTGCTTTATGGTGGGAATGACTGAAGGTGGGGACAAAACAAAACCCCACATTACTGTCTGTTCAAAGTTAAGAGTCCACAGCTACAATTTTACTGACTGTGCTCAAAACAACGTGATCATTGATAGATAGATAGATCTTTATTTGCCATTTGTGCATATACTAGCAGTTTATACACATTGGAATTCTTGTGTGGGCATCTCTCCTAGTCACAGTATAGATGACAGAACAGTAATGATAGAAAAAACATTATAAGGTCTAAGAAAACAGTGTAAGAACAATAAAAAAGGAAAAAAAGGAAATATTTACACATAAGCACACTAAAAAAAGAATAAAAAATTTAAAAGATAAATTTCAGCACAGTAGATGGTGTGGCACAATAGCAGCACAACAGTACAATCAGTGTGTCAAATGTAGGACCTGTATGCAACTTAGCAGCATTTCACATTTCTTAGGGATGAATGAACAAATTCATTGCACTTAATCTTCACTAAAACAAGTGTGTAAATAGATTAAACATCGCTCTACAAACAAGAGCAAAAATAAATAGTAAGAATCAGTCAGTTAATTATTAATACCTTCTACAGTCTGAGCATCATGTGGAGATTAGCCACTCTCTCCTGCAGGGAGCAGTTTTTATCTCTGCTCTCGTCATTTCGCTCGTATTCCAAAACAAAAGCTGCTGCCAGGGTGGAGAGTAGTTGTCRCTCCGGTTTAAAAYGTTCACGGTTCTGTGCTC